CCGGGGCCGCGGCCAGCCGGGCGCTGCAGCAGTGCGGTCAGCTTCAGAAGCTCATCGACATCTCCATCGGCAGCCTGCGCGGGCTGCGCACCAAGTGCGCGGTGTCCAACGACCTCACCCAGCAGGAGATCCGGACCCTGGAGGTAATTCGGGGCCGCGGCGCCAGATGGTCCGGGACCCGGACTGGGTCCGAGGATCGGATCCAGTTCACTCCTTTCCGAGTTGCCTCGTGGTGCCGGGTCGCCTCCTTGGACGCTTCCTCCCTTTGCTCCACTCGCTAATGCGGCAGCCTGAGGACCCAGGACCCGGCGCTCACCTTGGGCAGGATTTGGGGGAAGGGCGTACGGAGTGGGAACCGGGATGGAAGAAATAGGAGCGTGTGTGTGAGGGCTCCCTCCTCGTCCCCTCTGCGCCCACACCCCGTTTCCACGTTCCGCCCATCGTCCCACGGAGTCACGCGCTGGACTTTTCCCCGCGTGTTTGAGCCCAGCGGCCGTGGGCCAGGGTGACGGGGTTGGTCCCCTGAAGTGTGAGCGCAGGCCCGCCGCCCTCTGCCTTCCCTGCACGCCCGGGGCTCGGGCTTGTCCCTTCCTTTGCTCTCCTTTGAGTCTTGTCTGCCGGATTTCACAGTGTTTGCTGAAATTGCATTTTTGCTGTTCAGTCTTTGGTGCTTTCCTTTAGCGATGCCAGCGGTCACTGCTCCAAGTGTGACCGCCCCCCCTCCCCGCTCCCCACAAACGTTGGGTTTTGTCTTAGGAAGGATTATGCTGGACTAGGAAGCCTTTGGTTGGAAGATGACACTATAGTGAAGGTGGCCTGGAATGTAAAGAAGAAATAAGGTATGTGGGCTCTCCTCAAATTATAACTGGGCAGTGCAGTATTAAAAGGGTTGAGGCAGAAAGGTTTTTGGGTCTTCAGAGGAGCAGCTCCTCCATCCCTTACACAATAGAGGGAAGCTAGTTCATTCACAACTTGCCTTTGTCCAGGGACTGGGAGGCCTCTGAAATTTCAGGGACCAGTTCTAGCTGCCCTCCTTCCACCTTGCCTTGCCACATCAGGGCTCTCGTAAATCTGGGGATGTTTTGTTTCATTAGATCCTCTATTTCTCCCTCTCCCCTTGTTATTCCTAATTGCCTCTGCCAGCTGTCATAGGGCCAGCCAGTGATTGTGGTAATTATTACAAGACCAGTCCTCCCTCCATGCGCACCACACGTCTGAATCCTTGTGTGATCCAGAATGCTTGGGGTGACTCTTAGTTTTATTTTTTTAAAAGCTGCAAAGCTAGAGACATTAGAAGAATCCAACCATTACTGGCTATTAGTGTATACATTATAGTAACTTTACACAATATATACATATTTCTACAGTTGCTGTAGTGGGACTGACCAGGGCTTCTCTTAAAAAACAAACCAACAAAGCCCTCCCTGTGAGGTATAGCTATTTTCCAAGTGAAACTGCTTTCCTGAACAGCCTGGCAAAGTCAATTTTTAAGCACACAGGATAGGGGGCTTTGTGGCTCAGTTCCAGGAGGGAGGGTTGTCTTCGGGCCGTATGTGGTTGGACTGCTCTGTTGTTGGGCTGAGAGAATGTTCTCTGAGTTGCTGTCTGTTGGTGTGTCCACCTGCTGTTCAGAAGGCTTCCTTTAGAGTTCATTCTCTGCAGATAGCTCTTTGTCCTCCAAGTATCCTGACTTCCATAGTTGCACATTTTGACAAGGGTGTGGTACCCTGACACCCCACAGCATCCAGATGTTGAGGTCTCTGAGCTGGTTACTCAATGGCCTGCCTCCCTCTGGAGGGTGTGTTTCAGCAGTCATCTTTGGCAGCTGGAAAGTCACTGAAGGCCCAAGTGCTATCTGCAGTTTGCGTGGGGCTAACACCCACTCCCTGTTCTTTCTGCTGGTGTGGAGTCTGGGTCACCCTGCCCTCTGGCTGCAGGACCTTCTGTTGCTTACTATTTGGATTGGGAATTGAAACCCTTGGACCTAGTTTCCTGGGGGCTGCTACCAGCTAGTTCAGTGAGTCAGTGCATCCTTGATGCCTCAGGCTTCTCTCTCTTCTGCAAAGTAGGGAGGTTGGAGCACAGAGGGCTCTTAATGCTCTGCATTCTGTAGTTTAGTGAAGGAGGCTTGTGGGTTGAATTAAATGATTGTGATCTCTTTTATCATATCCATTTTGTGTTGTTTTTTTTTTTTTTTTTTTGACATGTGGGTCTTGTTATGTAGCTCAGACTGGCCTTGAACTCACTATGTAATGTAGCCCAAGCTGGCCTCGAACTCCTGGTGATCCTCCTATCTCAATCTCCCAAGTGCTGGGTGCAGGCATATGTCACCATGCCCAGTTTAGAACAGGTCTAAAATCCAGATTTACTGGACTGATAAGACAGAAAACAAATGTATTACCATAAGAATCTTTTTTTCCCCTCTAGTACTATAGATTGAACCCAAGGCCTTCACACTGAGTTATATATCCAGCCTTGTATTTTTTATTTTATTTTATTATTATTTTTTTGGTACCAGGGATCGAACTCAGGACCTTGCGCTTGCAAGGCAGGTGGTGGAACCACTGAGCTAAATTCCCGGCCCGTATTTTTTGTTTTTTGATACAGGTCTTGCTATGTAGTTCAGGCTGGCCTTGAATTCACTGTGAAGCCTAGGCTGGCCTCAAAACTCCTGCCTCAGTCTCTCCAGTGCTGGGATTACAAGCGTGCACTGCCAGGCCCCAGCCCTTTATTTATTTATTTTCAGGATTTTGCTAAGTTGGCCAAGCTGAAGTTGATCTTGGGATCCTTCCACCTCGGTCTTGACCATAGGAACAGTGTGGTGAACAGAAAGGCCACAGCTTTGAAATTAGTCCTGGTTGTGCATGTGATCTGAGGCAAGTTCTATGGCATCTACTGTCAAGCTCCTGGTCTGTAGAGTGGGGAGGACCACTTACTCCTATGACCATATCAGCCGGTCTCTCGGTGTGTGCTGTCACTACTGAGACTGCCTATAAACTATCCCTGGGGAGCGCCCAAAGGCATTTACTCCCCAGGGCATGTATCGGGCATGTATCGGAGGAGGAATTTCTACAGCTGGCTCTGTTTCTTAGAGGTGGATGACACAGGCTGGGAAGCATCCCAGCAGGCTGGTTGGGTGTGGCTTACTACCAGCAGCAGTGCAAAGGTCTGGTGGGCCATTGGCAGGGCGATTCTGCTTTCTTTGCTGCTCTGTAGGCTCTTTTTATGTACTGGGCTGAGTCTCCAGAGACTGAGCTTGCTACGTTGGATTCCTGGCATTTAAGAGGGGTCTGGCTGTGGGATCTGGCTTGTGCGACATCAGACGTGTTGCAGAACTTTTTAGGTACCTCAGCCCCGTCTGGCCCTCATTAAATGAGCACTTTGTGGGAGAAGCGGCAAGTGAGATGTCCCTTGGAAGGCCCTGACCAGGGACAGGCTGTGATTGCTCAAGGCCTCGGACTGTGATGGTGAGCAGGCGTCCCGCTGCCTGGCAGCTCATGCCTAGCTGTCCTCTGGGGAGCCATCCAGCTTGGATCGAAAAGGGTAGAAGGAGCCAAGTTTTAATGTTTGCTTCCTGTGTATCCAGTAGTGTGCTGGTCTCTTCTTGATCTTGTAGGATTTCCTGGAGATCCACCAACCTTCATTGGAACACACGTTTTTTCTCTCTAGATGGAAAAGGGGAGGGGGACACAGCCAGAAGCCAGAGTTGAATCTGTAAACAGAAGTTGTGATGCTACTTCATCCCAGCAGAACCCCGTGCCCAGTCCCCATTAGACCCTCCTATGGTTTGAGAACTCCATGAGGCAAGCAGGGAGGTTCCTGTTCCCCAGCTGTGCTCCTTGAGGGACACCTGGCCTGCCTCACGGCTGGGCCCACCCCAAGCCATTTCATGATTTCTTCCTCTGTGTGCCAGTGCTGGGGAGACAGGGATGTGCAAAAGTAGATGCTCGTGTTGCCTCCTGAAGATTGGCTTTTTGGGTATGTTGTAACCTGCTCTTTCCTGGCAGCCCACTAGCCCTTCTCAGAGATGGGCTCTGCCCATCCAGTCTCCTGACCTGTGCTTGTGCAAGCTGGCCTGGAAAAGGGTGCCCCAAAGGGCTGTGATCCTGAGGCTTTGCTGGGAGGGGCCATTGGGGGATTCTAGTGAATTCTAGTGTACCTATTCTAGGGAATAGGTACAGTCTCTGTGATTTGGCTGCTTCCTCAAGCAGTTGCTCTGGGGCCAGGAGGTGCCTGGGGAGCCCTGGAGCTCCTTGGTCCTTGGAAGGTCACAGAGGCCTGACCCTGTTCCTCACTGGCAGTGCAAAGAGGTCAGAGCTGTGTTGTGTGAGGACCTGAGTTCTCTCTCTGCCCCCCAGCATATGGATGACAGAACTGATGGAAGTGGAGAGGGTTGCCCATATCCTCAGATTAGGTCTCCAGAGCGTGCATGGATGTGCAGTGACTGGACAAGCCTTCTTATTGGTGATGCTTACCCAGCTCCTGACTAGCAACTTTCCTGGTGAGGTTCTGAGGTAGGTGGGATGCCTCTTCAGCTTGAAGTACACTTTCAGTATACAGTGGGAGCCAGACAGGTGGACAGCAGGGCCCCCAGTGCTATAGCTCTCCGAGGGTGCTTAGGAGCAGGATTCCCTGCATTTTGAATCCTGCTAAACTTTTGGCCAGTCCAGCTTTCTGTTTCCATGGGAAATCTTTTCAGAGTCTTAGTGACCTTACCCATGTCACATGTCTGTGGCAGAGCTGAGACTGAAACCTGGCCTCCTTTTCTGACCTGGCTACTCTCATAGTGTACGGTAGTGGTGGTGCATCTGTGGTACGCATGCACAGGCGGCTGTTATTATTGAAAGCTCTAAAAGGTTCACCATTGCTGGTGTGTAGTATTTCTTCACCTCAGTTTTAGCTCTCTGCTTGAGCAACTTCAGTTGTCCCTGAGGGAGCACAGAGTTGCAGTGTTGTCCCTTTGCGTGTCCATTTTCACCTTGGCAACTTTTTCCTTAGACAAACCTACTTCTCAGGTGTTCTTCTTTCTTCCGTGGCACCAGGGATTGAATCCAAGACCCTGACACCGAGCTGCATCCCACCTCTTTTTAAAAATTTTAACACAGGATCTTGCTAAGCCAGTACATTGCCCAGGCTCGACTCA